CTCGGCAAATTTACCTACAACAAGGATTTGTAAAAAGGTTATGGCTGATTTAAACTTCAAATACGTGAATTTGATACACTTTCCGGAAGAGCCTGCTTTTTTGGTAAGCTCGCAAAGATAAATTTCCAGAGAAGGGAGAGAAAAAAGTGGCAAAAAGGGGCATGGCTTGGAAAGGAGGTTATGCCTCGCTCCTTTTTGGGCGTGCTGTATGAATATTTCAATAGTTTCAATTTAATTTTGAGAAATCTAATAATAGTTTCATATCATAATAGGAGTTCAGTCGTTTTATCGGTTGGATTTATTCTACTTTGAGAATTTCGCAATTTACTTTCACTCCCTCCCCCTTACGCCCGCCATTTTTTTTCATCGCCTTTACGCGATTTTATTATTTAAAGATGCTCACGTGCAGGACCAAACAAATTCATTTTCGCCACACTGCTTCTAGTGATTGTGTCATCTTCATCAGAAGAACTATCGTCTTCAGCCGAACTATCTTGTTCCTCTTCCATTTCTTCCTCACTTGAAGGACTAGGCGGTGCTAGCCGGGTGATTTCGTCAATTTCATACAACTCAGACCTCAAATGGCCTTCGTCGTCAGATTCAGCAACGAGTTCCTTAAAGAATGACATTTTTGGTCCAGGTTAGAAGTCTATTCCTCTGAAGTTCAGAGAGCTTGTCTCTTAAACGAATATTAATTTCATGGAAGAAATGTAAAAAATCCTGAATTTCTGCTTTAGATTTAATCGATATCCAATGTATACCTTTTCAGAGTTTCAGAAAAAAACATAACGAAAACTATGCGTACAAAGACTGTTTTCTACTTCTACTCTAATATCTTCCTTCCTAGGTAAAAATCATCCTACACTACTTTTCACCTCCCAAAAAAGCAGATTAAAATGTAGAACATCCGAGAACCAATCCTTCGATAATGCTCAAATTACGAAATACCTGTGTGCCAGCAACGATGTCGCCAGAAGCGCTTGATTTTGTCTCAATAGATAGTGCAGCTGGATTCATTGTGCTCTTTGTGGAAACCTCGGGTTCATCAGGTGAAGAATCCATAACTATCGGGAAGGCAGTGTTTTTAGTTTCTTTCTCTGGTGTGGTAGCATTAAGCTGTTTCAATGGTATCGGTTTCACTAAATTTACTTTGATTTATTTTGATGAACAAAAAGATAGATTCGTAGGTTTGAACAGTT